GTGTCTCCGGTCTTGACTGCGAGCTGCACTTTGGCCTGAGGCAAACTGTTGTTGCAGCAGGAACCACATACGGCAGCTCATGAATCATTTCCTGCTGTCGCTGCCTCGTCTGTAAATGTGCGACTCACTGTGACTTTTCTATTTAACGTTCAACACTTACATTAAGAACCAACAAAAGTCCACTAACATGTGCTTCTGCCTCACATGTGTTGGCGCTCTTGGCTCTAGATACTCAGCAGCGCCACCTTTCCCATGATTCACCTCTGACCCTGAGGCGCTCGGCTAGCGGTCTGCGGTCTCGCTGGATGGATCAAGGAATCCCAGAAGCCTACGAGATCAAGGTCTACGAGATCGACAATGTACAGAGGATGCAGGAAAGAGCAGGTGCTGGCAAACAGGTGCTGGGTTTATTTTGATTTTTTTGTTGGAGGTTAAAGGGCATTACATAATAAACAGTATGACCTTTATAACCTCTACGAGCAGCGAGCGAGAACAGCCACAAAAACAGGATTGTGGGTTTTTTAATGAAGTAATTTTTGCAGAACTCAGTTAGTTCTCTTTTTGTATTTGAAATGGTAAGTAACCATGTTTGTTATGGAATAACAGGACCAGCGTTAATGCTGCCGCAATATCATTTTTTGATATATTAAATGGAATAAATTGAAATGATCTGCCGTCTCTGTTGCAGAGATTTGAGGAGACGCAGCAGATATCGTGAGGCGAGAAACCTCAGCTATGGTGTCAACTTAACAGAACACAATAAAAGTAGAATAAGATAAATAGAATAGAAATATCCTTTATTGTCCCAGCAGCAAAGTGAGAGACAGCGTGCAGGTTCACACAAAGCTTAGAATAAACAAGGAATAAGAGTCCTGAGCAAATTTACAAGAAACACAAATACTTTACAGTGTTTTTACTCAAAAAGTGCTTAAAAACAACAAGGACACTCCTGACAGGAACAATGAGGAGCCTCCAGGGTCTCGAGGTCAAAGATTAACTGGAAGTCGAGTTATTGAGCAAATCACAATGTGACCCTGTGTTTGTACTGAGCAGCTACAAGGTCTTCATACCTTTAACATATATTAATTTCCACCCATTTTAAATGTAATGTGTCTCATAAAACTTTGTTTTCTTATATGATTGATGATAAATGTGGTTCATAGTCCGAAGAATATGAATCCAGTAAAGATATTAAATGGGAAAGAAATAGAAAAGGAGTCAAATCATAGACAGAAATGTCTCAGGAGACCAAACATTTCCCACTCGTGGGACATTTTTCTATTTCTTTTCTTCACCAGTAGAAGCTCGATGCAGACGAAGAGCACGCTTGATAAGCTGACTGTGTAAACCTCGCATAAAAGACCGTCTGGCATTTAAAATGCGCTTGATAGCAAAACAGGGTCCATGTGGTGACGTGATGTCCCATGACGAGAGGTCTGGCCCCGTGAGACGACTCGCTGCCTCCACCCGTCTCAGGCAGCTTTGATACAATTTTAATGACCACATGGGGTAAACTGGGTCAGTGCTGCAGCGGGGAACAAAGACAGAACAAGCAGAGCAGGATGGAGGTAAAACACCAGATTTTAAAACTGTAAATATGGATTTATTGACCCCCCCTCACTCCCACCCCCAAACGCCTGCCATGCTCCGCCCATCTCTGCCCTAACATGATGTTTACATGAAGAGCAGCTGAGAGGTGGAAGCTGTTTTTCATTAAAACCTACAAAGTACTCACACACGGTACTCCAGGCCTCGTTGTTTAATTGGTGAGAGTAAATTAAATTTACTTAATTTAAGCTGTGTTTCAAAAATCTTAGAATAAATAAAAAAAAGTGAAAAGGTTGTGTTTCTGCTTCCAGGGGCCCACGTGCTTCAGTGCCAAGCTGAAGCTTCTGGAGCACCGGCAGCAGAGGATCTCCGAAGTCCGAGCCAAATACAGCCACCTGAGGAG